GCTTCTAAAATGTAGAGCTCAACTCTTTTTGGAAAAAAAAAAATCTTGATATTTGGTATAGATTAAATCCATGGGATACGGATTTGTTGTCATATATATACAAAATTGGACAACAAAAATCCCCACATCAAAAATAAAATAAAATTGATAGAGAATCAAATATAATCTCACATTACATGTTAATATATATTTTTGGTTACCAAATAAAAAAAATCCTTAAAATGTTTGTTTAAGAAGATATAAACCCTTATATTATAATGGGATATGATATGGAGAGGTAGATGTTGACACTAACGTCTAAAAACATATAGAATGATTGTGTCACAAGTGATATTCACCATGTGCAAATAATAAATGAGAGAAACAAGGTGAAAGTAATCAGAGTGAATGAAGAGTAAGACATAGAAATGGGTAAATAATAATACAACCATACACATCCAAGCACTTGGGGAAACAAAGGAACTAAGCCAATGTGAGCAGTAAAACAAAATATGAATAAATCAAACGCATCCAAGCACCTACAAAGGAAGTAAGTCAATGTCAGTAGTAAACTAAAACATGAATAAATCAACGTACATACGAGCATAAGCATGTATGAACAATAAAGATAATAAAACAAACAACACAATGTGATAATGCTACCTATCTATCTTAATGTTTAGCCTCATTACATTCCTATATTTCTATCTAAGGTCATGTCTTGGAAAAAACAAATCCTACATGTCAATCCTCATGCTATCTTCTTAATTTCTTTTAGGATGTCATCTCCTCATTTTACCATTGAAGATGGTAATTTTCTTTAGAAATGTCACCTCAATCTTCTGTACCTTCCTCAAGTTTATGATGACTGTGTCATTTCCAAGGAGTTTCTTAAGAATGTGAAGTTATAAGGTTTTTTATATAATAATTGTAAAGTTGCTCGTTTTAACTTGTAAAAATAACATTGAACTTGATGTGATACTAAAAAAGCGTAGGAAGACTAAGTTTGAATAAATATAAAAATATTTTGTTATAACTGTGGGTCTTTCAAAATGAAAAAAAAAAACGGACAAATATGGCAATTTTTCTTAAGTTTATCAAAATTTAGCAAAAAACTAATATTTTCCATGAATAACCATGCATTTCATATCGCATGTACTCTGCAAAATGCTTATAGGTATTGTGAAAGGCCAGAATGATGTTGTTTTGGCATTTCGCAGCGCCTATAAACATTTTGTATGGTTCTCACTGAAATGCAAAATGCAAAATGTTTATCTCGTGTGAAATGTTAGTATCTTTTAAAATACAAATAAACATAATAGAAAAAGACCTTATATATATATATATATATATATATATATATATATATATATATATATATGTTCATTTGAGACCACATATATTTTGTGACACATGGGGACCAAATCTTGGCCTTTGATCAAAACTGATCTTGTGGCTAATAAAAAAACGTGATTAACCCTAATTAATCTAATTGATTAGATGAGGGGTAGATTAGTCCCTAAGTAAAATTTAATAGGATCAGATCTGATATAATGTTAATGTTATCTTCACATCATCAAGAAATCATCTGCTTTGATTCTTCTACCAAGATATTCGATGGATCAACTTTCCTTGTTCTTCAGTTCAATCTGATCGATCTTCTATCTCCTTAAATCTTTTATTCTTTCAACTGATAATTAGTTTGAGTTGGACACTGATCGAACAATGCTAAATAATAGCTTTTAAAGTCGCGATTTCTATGTTTTACGAGTTCATGTTCTTCATTCTTCTGCATCTGCAATTGATAATCTGAGTAATTGAGGTTTATGTTCATCTATCGACACCAAGAGTTAATTACAAGATTGTTAATGATTTTAGCTTTGTGATGACCAATTTCATCCAAGGTAGAGGTTCAAGTGTTGAGTTGATTTATGCTTATCTTCATCTTCAACAATTGCTAATGATCTTTCAAACTGTGATTTGTATTCTACATCACGATTTCATCAACTGATCAAGGTTTGAGTTTTCTTCCTTGTATTTTCATCGCTTTCATTGTTACTTGCATGTAACATGTTCAATTGTTAACCTTGCAACATGAACTGATTGAATCATCAAGCTACTAGTGATTTCTCCAATTCATATATGAATGATTTGTGATTTCAACAATCAAACATCATATTGATTGATTGAAATCAATTATTGTTCTTGAGAAAATTCTCTTAAACTATACATGCATTCTACCTGTTTGATGAAAGTCATGAATGAATAAATATTCTGATGTATCACCCCTTTCTTCCCATAAATAAACTCCTATTTAAGAATGAGTATACTTCCAAAATATGAGTTAGAATTAGAGTAAGATAATTCAATATTGACTAATCTAATTAAATTTACCTTAGTTTTGTTAAAATATGTAATTTTCTTTAAACACAAATTGTTAGAGATGCATTTTACCACACTTTTGTTTAAATATGCTCTTGTTAACCTGTAAGAAACAAAAAAGGTTGTACTAAAAAAATATTAGATGCTATTAAATAAATTATGGTTCTTATAAAGGTAGTATATGTTAACAATGGGTTATTTTATGGCTAATTTCATAAGAATGTATATTGTTCTGATTATATCTATTGGATACATACCATCAATAATATGTTATTACATGATGTGATTCTCTAATAGTGTATATTATTCTGATTAGACTACCTTAATTCTAACATTGAAATGTTATGAATATAGTTTTGTAAATCTTCATCCATGTGAAGTTTGAATCACTTGTTAAAACATAGTATTTATTTTAATCCATATTGATTCTAAAAATTCATTCATTTTTGTTGCAAAGAAATTTAGTAAATGAAGCCCAACTCGAAAGGAACTTGAATGTTTCAAATTAGAATTTCTTATGACATATGTTGAGATTAAAGAAAATGTAATATCTTAGTTAAAGGTCCAAGTTAGTCATAGACCTCCTTGTCAGTTGCATGTTAAGTAAAAGATGCATTGACTAGTTTTGTATGAAGTAGAAAAGGTTCAGGTTAGTCATAGTCCTCATTGTCATGTAATTTTTTACTCTATTCATTAAAACTTGATTGAACCTATAATGTTGACATGATATCATATGTTAAATATATCTTACAGTACTAACCATAACTAGAATATTATGCTACAAACTAGAACATTACACCACGAAGTAGAATTTATGACTTTGTTTCAATAGTAATTAACATCGTTACTATGTTTAATGTTATACATTTGTCTTTTATCTGGTTTTCTATTGAAACCAACTCTTTAATACAATGACATGATTATTTTTTTTAATATTTTATTTCAAACACAAAAGATTGGAGATGGTTTTTTAGCATAAATTTATATATATATATATATATATATATATATATATATATATATATATATATACATATTTTCATAATTAGAACAATACTATGTTTAGTGTTTTATGTTAAGTATTGTTGATTCAGATATTCTCCATAATGAGGAAAATCAAGCGGAAACCCAAGTAGATTTTTTATCAGTATCAGTTATTCTTATAGAATATTGATCATAGATTTATTAATTCGAATTATTTACATCATGTTGCTGATTAGTTCATGTTACCACATATTATTCTTATTGAATATTGAGCATACATTTATGATCAAATTCATATGAATGTACATTATTTTTATTATATGTTAATGTGGTGGTATATTATTTTTTGTAGTTCTAAGTAACAATGTTGCAACACAATATGGCTCTTGCAAACAATTCATTTGACCCGATGGTTATTTCTTTTGGATTCTAGAGGGTGAAAGGAACTTGAATATTTGAATCTAGACTTTTTAAACTATAAGTATCGAGATTCATGGATATGTAATAGATTTTATATGTCACAAACATGTAATAGACTTTTTATGGTTGTTTGTGCATTGTTATTTAACCATAACTTGATAAGAGTTTTTGAGATTCATATTCATCCCTTTCTCTAACAAGGTAACCATATGATGAAGATTTATGATACTATGTTGAAAATTTGTTTTCAAAATATGAATGGTTTTCTAATTATTGAGATTCTTTGTTTTAGTTTCATCCACTTTTGTTTTTGATTTTTCCATTTAATCAATTCATGTACATCAACAAAATTAATATAAATACTCAAGATTCAAAAATATTATGAAAAATATGCCTTTATAAACAACACATTAATAATTAAACTAACACCATTCTTGTAACATTAACTCTTAATTCTATCATATTACATATTCTAAAATCAGAATATGACACACAATTTTAGAATATGACACATAATTTTAGAATATTTTACATTACCTCATTATTAATCAAGTGCTATCACAATAATTTACAAAGAGGTTCAAAACAAATTGTTTCTAACAAAAAGCAAAATGTATAAAATTATATATTACATATTATTTAACAAAAAGTTTGAAGCAAATTGTTTCCAACAAAATCATAATGTCTAAAATTATAATATGATACCTAATTTCAGAATATTTCACATTACTTCAGAATATTACATCTTAACAACATAATATTAAATATTGAATATTTAGAATTACTAGAATAATAACATATCAAAGAGTTTTAAACAAGTTTAGATTTAATTAAGCATTATTCTATTAGAAGATTCAACATATAAGTCAGAATATCCTACACCATTATTATATTAGAAGATTATGCATCTTATTTTTGAAAATAGATAACATATAATATTATTCTAGTAGAATATACACATTATTTTCAAGTAATTAATCAAATTATTCTATTAAAAACATAAACATTATTTAATTAGAATAGTCTGCACAAGGAAATCTTTAACAATGAACAATATTTTCAAGAAATAGTTTGCACAATGTTCTATATATATATATATATATATATATATATATATATATATATATATATATATATATATATTATCATCTTTTCATACTAGAATAAATTGAACAATGTTGTGTACATCTAATTACATGATGTATTTATCCTTTCGACATCTAAATTAGAATTTGACCAAAAAAAAAAATGCTCCAAAGTGAGTTTCTTATTTAATTTCACAAATGTATCCATATATGTTGATTTTAAGTCATTGAACTGTTTTGCCACTTTCCAACATGCGCTTATCCACTTTCTGGCTTATTGGTACTTCAAAAAATTGTACTTGAAAATAAGTCATTGAACTGTTTTGCCAATGCCATGTTCTAGTTTCATTTGGAAACATCGATATACAATTAAAAACAATTTATTCCATATTCTCTTTTTCTACAAAAACTTTCTAGAAGACCTTTTCAAACATTTCTTCATGTTCCTGAAAAACAATAAGACACTAAAATTATAAGTATAACTTATTAAATGAAATCATAATATTCAATTGAATAATAAGTTATGAAGTACCATACGATCTATCATATCAGAATGGTAGAATATCAATTATGAACCAAAAGCATGCCATATCAGAATATATAGAATTACGAAAAATAGCAACATACTTTAATCTTTCTACTACTATAAACAATGTACTTACTTCTTAGCAACATAGTTTCAGAAAGGCTAGAATATTATACTAGAAGCAAATATATATATAAAACATAATTCCTAGAATATTTTACTACACAAATCAAAATGACTAGAATACTATGATATATAAAATCATAATGAATATAATATTGTACTAAACATCAATGCTTTAAAATTCATCATCAGTTTCTCTATTACAGACATCAATAAGGAATTTCAATATTTCAACATTAATTTTCAACAATTCATCTTCAATTTATCTACTACCGAAGGATTATCATAAAGGATTGATTACTTATCGATTTTATATAATTTCATATCAGAAAATCGATTATCAGCAATTCATCATCAAAGAATTTTGCTATTACTGAAGGATTATAAACAAGTTTCGATTTTCAACAATTTACTAATCTATCCTAAACTTTGCTATTAAATAAGATTATCAACTCATCGGCAATCAATTTACAACAATTTATGATAAAATGGGAATGGACATGATACTTAACAGAATGGCTAAAATATTATACTAGAAGTTAATATAGAAAATAGAATGGCTATAATATTATACTAGAAGTTAATATACAAAATAAAATTACATATTTTACTACACAAATCAAAATTAAAAGAATAATATACTACACAAAATTAGAATGACTAGAATATTGTACTAAACATCAATGTTTAACAATTCATCTTCACTTTCTCTATTATAGACATCTATAAGTAATTTTGAGATTACATCGGTTTTCAACAATTCATCATCAATTTCTCTATTACTGAAGGATTATCATAAATAATTGATTTTAGACATCGATTTTCAGTAATTCATCATCAAATTTTTTTGCTATTACTAAAGGATTAAAAACAATGATCAATTTTCAGTTATTTATCATAAATTTTGCTATTACATAAGGATTATCAACAACTCATAATCAATCGATTTCATTAATTCAACATAAAAATGAGAATGACTACCATACTAACTCGAATATACAAAACCAAAAGGACTAGAATATTATACTACAAGCTAATACACAAAACCAAAAAACTAGAAACTTTTACTACACAAATCAAAATGATTAGAATAATATGTTATACAAAATCAAAATGGCTAGAATATTGTACTAAACATCAATGTTTAACAATTCATGATCATTTTCTATCTTACATACACTGATAAGGAATTTCTAGATTTCAACATTTATTTTCAACAATTCATCATCAATTCTATATTATCAAAGGATTATCGTACATGATCAATTTTCAGCAATTATTCATCAATTTTTCTATTATAAAATAAATATCAACAAGAATCAATGAAAAACTCATCAACAATTTCGATATTTAGCAATTCATCATCAAAATTAGAATGGATAGAATACTAACTCTAGCATACAAAACTCAAAATTACTATAAAAGTATACTAGAAGCTCATATACAAAACAAAACAAAATGATTAGATATTGCACTATACAAAATCAGAACTAGTAGAATATTGTTTTGAAAGCTAAAGATTGAGTTTTTGTTGGAAAATAGCTTTATGTCCTTTATTTTTGAATTAACTACTTCTCTTTGGTTCTTTAGACTAGACTTCAGTACATGTTATTTTAATCACTCTATCTACTTCATATAATGACATTGGTGATTCATCTTTTATATTGAGAAGGGGAATTGGAATCTGATTCTCTCGAATAAGACATTGTTGAAAGGTGAAATCAAGCCTTTGATGGGTATGAGTTCTAAAGTCGATTCTTAAAACTAGAATGAAACAATCTGAATAACATAATTAAGGTTTATGATTTTGAATGGTCGTCGATTCCTTCTATTTAAAAGGATAGGGTTTATGTGAATTTAAAGGATGATAGATTAAGGAAAGAAAGAACCGGTATATATGATTTTGATTCGTTAGCGATCTTCTAGGTTTGATCTTCAGTTTTTGTAAACAAGAAACCAAAATTAACTCTCTTTGATTCACTTTGCTTCAATTGGGAGAATGGTTAACAACGGTGATATGATATGTGTTTTAATTTGATATACTAGGGTTATTCGACTTAGAATCTGTACAACCCAAATTATTCATCGGTTCAATTACACAATCCGAAATTTGAATAGCTTAAATTAATACATGTTTTGTGAAGGAATCGTTGATAATCGAGATTGAATAAGAAGGTTGAAGTTATGAATTTGAAGTAATAAGAATTTGTTGATAATTGAGATTAACCGAGGGTTTTCTGAACGTTTTTGGCTACGTGAATCGGTTAGGATTTGTTTCGAGTATGAATCAGAGGATGAATTTGAGCTAAAATCAGAATAAAGAGCTTGACTTTGCAATCGATTTAGGGTTAATCTGAAACAAATTTGTGATTGGAAGGGTTTCCGATTGATGAAAGGGTTTTGGGAAATGAACATCATATGAATGTGTTTGTGAATGTGCCACGTTACGTTTCCACCTCTCCGTGTTTTCTAGTTAATTACAAAGTTTGTGTTATTTACACAAATTGCCACCGCTAGTATTTTGTTTTTTTGATTAAATCTAAACCACATATCAGTTTTGATCAAGGGTTAAGATTTGGTCCTCACGCCTCACAAAATATAGGCGGTCTCAAATGAACCCAACCCTATATATATATATATATATATATATATATATATATATATATATATATATATATATATGTGTGTGTGTGTGTGTGTGTGTGTGTGTGAATCTAAACTATTACATAAGAAAAACCTACTTGAATAAGCCCATGTTCCTTTTTAGTCTATATGAGCTAGGAGTGTTTCTTAGTTTTGCAAAATGTCGAGAGAAAAATTGAGTTTTCATAGTAAAATCGACTTAAATATAAGGACCACATCCGACCCATGACAACCCATTTCACAGAGGACATAAATATTTCGCAAGGCACCCTCAATATATTTATGGACATTGCGAAATGCCAAAAACAATGTAAATTTATGCCAATTTCAAAAGACATCCTATAAATACATGGTTATCGGTAGAAATTTGTTAATTTTGGCTAGTTTTTTAAATAATAAGAATAAAAAAAAGTAGCTATTGTATATATAAACCCCTTAAATTAGGAAGACAAATGTATCAATATAACATAAAAGTTTGTAGGGTTTAATAAAAAGAGAAGTTTATTGTTTTCAAGATGTCTTCATGTTCATACCCATCCCTTTTTATAGGACGGGTGTAAAATGTAAATTACTCAAATTAAATACCTAATCAATCATGTGATTTAGGGTTTATGGTTTATAGAAATCATGTATACCAATGAACTTAACTATTTAAAATTTCTCAATAACATGGTATGTTTATAAAATATCATAAATATGATTTATTATTTTATTTAAGAGATTATACATGTGGCATTAAAAAAAATCCAAATTCCCAACCTCCATATATTTGTAGGTGGTGCAAAGATTTTGGCGCTAAATAACCTCTCAACATATTATTATCATTTCTATTTTGAGCGCCAAATTCTCTTCATAACATTCCCCATCACCCTCAATGTTTCCTAATTTGCCTCAAGAAAAACAATTTTTGTTGTTGTTAGTGTTGCCTAATTATCCCATTTACCCTTTTGCTCTTTGTCTGGTTTGCTACACAATTTTCTCTCCAACTTCTCTTCCTCTTCTTCATTCTCTCTCCCCTCCGTGTGGATTTTCCGGCGTTAAACTGGAGGGGAGAGAAAACACGACGGAGTAAAACAAGAGGAAGGAAAGCAGATCTGACGGACGTCATTGATCGGAGAAGATGTTACAGAAAGCAATAGGCGGCGGGCATTCGTGGTGGTGGGCTAGTCACATTCGAACTAAGCAGTCCAAATGGCTCGAACTAAATCTCCAAGGTGATTCATCATTCGGATCGATCGATTACTTGATTGTTTATCCGAATTTGGAAATCACCGGAAAATGTAACGAGTTTTTGTATGATTTTTTTTTTTTTTTTTGCAGATATGGATATGAAGGTGGATCACGTTCTGAATTTGATTCAAAACGATGGCGATTCATTCGCTAGAAGGGCGGAGATGTATTATAGACACCGGCCGGATGTTATAAGCTTCATCGAGGAAACTCTTCGTGCTTATCGAGCATTAGCTGAACGATATGATAAATTATCGGGCGATTTGCAGAAAGCGAACACCACCATTGCTTCAATTTGTCCGGAAAAAGTCGATTTAAGCCTCGACGAAGACGACGATGATTTCAACTACGATTCTCCGAAAACACCTAAACTCAATCGTCAAAATCGAATCAAAATCCCTAAATCCCCAAAACCTGTTAACAAAGACGTGAATTGTGTTCTCGACAATGCATCAAAGACGATCGAAGCAACAAAGACGAGCGAAGAAAAGGAAAATCAAAGTCCTCTGAAATCTGGATTGACGAAAGACGATGCTCTCGAAGAGATTGATAATCTTCAAAAGCAAATCCTGGAGATGGAAACCTTGAAGGATTCCATGAAGAATTATTACGAGAACAGCCTTGCTGAGTACTGGGATGCGGAAACCCAAATAATCGAAAATCAACAGAGGATTTGCAGATTAGAAGATGAATATGAAATATGTAAGAAAATCGAAGAAGACAATAAAGGTACTTTAATGGCGGAAGAAGCTTTGAAGTCATGCCAAGAGACCTTAGCTATGTTACAAGATCATCAAAAGAAATTAAGGTACGATGTTAAATTAGAGCACCAGAGATTCGATCAAGCTAAGCAAAAACTCAAATCAATCAAACAGAAATATAATTCGGAATCAGATCTAGAACGAGAACAAGAACAAGAACAAGAACTGGAAATCAGAAACGTCTCAAATCAAAGCTTGGAAGGCGTATCGAAGAATCCAGAAAAAATTACAGAATTGGCAGATACGATTGATACGCTTGTGAACATGGTGATTACTTTAGAATCCTCGATTTCATCCCAAACTGTTCTTGCAGACATGTTAAGAAAAGAAGCAGATGATCTTCAATCACAGATTCGAAAAATGGAAGACGATATGCAAACACAAGCTCAAAAATTTGAAAACGATCTTCAAACTCAAACTCAAAAAATGGAAGACGAGCTTCAAACACAGATTCAAAAAATGGAAGACGAATTTCAAACACAGATTCAAAAAATGGAAGACGAATTTCAAACACAGATTCAAAAAATAGAAGACGAACTACCAAAAGAAAGTGATCATACTTGTGTATGCAACGAAACAGCTGTTGAATCAAAATCAGAAGAAAAGAACATTGACATTAGTTGGCAATCCATGTTGTTGAATGGGATTGAAGACAAAGATAAGATCATTCTAGAAGAGTACATCACGATCTTGAGACACTACAAGGATACTAAGAAGAAATTGAGTGAAGAACAGAAAATAAACCAAGGATTAAAACAGAAGTTGAGACTTGTTCAAGAAAACATACCTCATGAAGATGAGAGCAAGACCACCATTGATGAAGAAGCTCAAGCTTTTTCCGCCATGGATATGATTCTTGATGAGAATGTTAACTTCTGGTTGAGATTCAGCACTGCTTTCCATCAGGTACACAAATTCAAAACCCAGATTGAAGATCTGAATGATGAGATTAAAAAGGTGAAATCAAGGTCAGATATTAAGTTGATATATAAAAATCTTAAAGATATAAAGAGTAAACTTACAATATGGTTGGAGGAAAGTATGTTGCTAAAAGATGAATTAAGGATGAGATTCGCGTATTTATCGAATATCGAGGAGGGAATTAAGTTCAGTAGCCATGAAGAGGCTGCAAAGTTCCAAGGTGAAATTATGAAAAAGAAACAAGAACACAATGAAATTAGTAAAGAACTTGAAGCAAGTTTAGATCATGTGGTTGCTATAAAACTTGAATTGGAGAAGACTTTGGAAAGGGTAGAAAAGGAATTTGGGCTTTTGAAGAATCCGAATCAACAACAAAAGGGGAAATTATCTTCGAGTAAGTCGATAATACCCTTGAAGTCGTTCCTTTTTGGGGTTAAGTCAAAGACACAAAAGTCTTCCTTTTTTTCTTGTATGAGCAGCCCTAAGAAATCAAGATCAAAGAAAGGTGGATGTATGTCCATATAAATATATAAAAACCATTGTACAAGAATGTATCTGAGTTTAAAAAACATGGAACATATACACAAAGAAAAAAAAAAAGTGACATCATTTATGAATTGTGATTCTGATAGCTTTTTAAATATCATAAACATGGGAATGGGAAGATCACTTCTTTGATGGTGTAAATGACACTTCTGACACCACAATAGCTCCCCTGCTTTTTGCCATGTATAGCCCAACATGGTGCATTAGTTCCTGTTGTGAGATTTAAAGTTAAGTGGCAAAATGGTAAATAATGAGTTTCTCTCCAACATATATAGAGACAAATTGGACTTGGTATGAGCTTTGATTATCTATGGGACCCACTAATTTTGTTTTTATTATTTTATCGTTCACAATTGGTTGAAAACCAATGGGGCCCACCACAATAGGAGATTTTTCTTAATGAGAACAGATGTGACTGTGTCTAGCTGATGTGGGACACTGACAAATTTGCATGAATGAAGACATGGGTACCTGAGGATGAGCAAGAGCACCAGGGATGTCTTTTGCAACATGTAGTGGAAGATCAAAAGTTGCACATCCACGAGAATAAACAATCACATCCTTTAGAGGCTTAAGATAACCACGGTTTCTTGCAGAGAGTGTAGAACAAACAAAATCCAATACACATACATCCGTGCATATACCTACAACCACAATCTAAAAAAAAAAAAAAAAAAAAAAAAAGTGGATATAAATTACTATTTGTTTGATTGCATGATATAGAAACACAATACTTACAACTTCAATTTGGTGTGTTTTCACCCAATCTACAAACACATTTGATCCATCGTTCTCGAAAGAACCAAGAAATCCATCAATGCAGTCTTTTCGTCTAAGTGTCACATTCGACTCGTTTTCCAACCATTGTAAGCCTACAAAAAGTCAAAATTAGAACAACAAAAAGTAGCTTGAGATGAAGAAAAGTCAAATTTACCAGGAACCAAATTTGATTCATCTGTCCCGATTATACAGTGAGGAGGATATGGGGGTTCAAGGATATCTGGATGATGAGAATCAAGGAAAGCAAACACAGGCCATTTCTTTTCACAAAACACTTTCGCAAGTTGTATTGATTCATCAACCATTCCAGATATTTGCTTATCAGGTACTCTTGGAGCCTGAAACAAGATCATGATACGCATTAGAAAACGAGCATAATTTAGCATCGCATTCATCGATTAAACAGTTAAATTGAATGTAATGTGGTCGATTGTAAGATCAATTTTAGGTTAGAAGTCGAAACCACTTCCATGATCTATAAAAATTTCGTTCAGAGCTCGATAGGTACTTATTGCTATTCATCAATGGTAATAGAACATATGAATTTGAAGGTGATGAGAGACCGATTGGATGGATTATAACATGTTACAGCAACCATAACCATATGCGATCGATTGCACAATTGAGAGAGAGAGAGATGAGAGATGAAATTGCGAAAATTTAAATGAGAGGGAAAGTTTTACCAGATTTCCAGCGCCAACGGTACAGAAGCCGTTAACGATATCGACGAGGACAAGACCGGTACGGAGATCACCGGAAAACACCACCGACTCCTCGTCCACGGGTAGTTCGTTCTTCACCAGATCTATTGCCTTTCCGGACGCCATTTTCGCTGATCAAAGTTAGATTTTCAACTCAACGCATTCAACGCAATATATATATAGTATACACACCAATTCAAGTGGACCAAATCTGTGTTAGATTTTTTTATTAATTAATTAATTAATATATCTCACCTTTTTTAGATTGTTTTTTACGGATTTATTTTACAATTAGCTCCCCTGAGGATTTGAAAAAAGTTTTGAATGGTCCTTTTTTACTATATATATATATATATATATATATATATATATATATATATATATAATATATATATATATATATATATATATTATGGAAATTGTTTCTTATGAATAGTGAGTTTTCATAATTTTTGTTTATTTTAGTCCCTAAACTTTATGTTATTTTTTAGCAGAACTGATCCTTATACTTTGACAACTTTGATTCTCATTTTTTTAGCTATTTGATACTTTTGACCATTGTAATCTATATTTTTACATTTTTTAGAAACCTTTTAATATTTAAAGTTTGGCCACAAAACGTTTGACAACTTTGATCCATTTTCTATTTAGGAACCTTTTAATATTTAAAGTTTGGCCATAAAACTTTAACGATTTGACAACTTTGATCCTTATTTTTTAGCCATTTTGACACTTTTGGTCCTTATAATCGATATTTTTACATTTTTTAGGAACTTTTTAATATTTAAAGTTTGGCCACAAAACTTTAACGGTTTGACAACTTTGATCCCTTTTCTATTTAGGAACCTTTTAATATTTAAAGTTTGACCACAAAACTTTAACGGTTGGACAACTTTGATCCCTTTTCTAAAAACTTGCTAATTCCTACCGCTTTAATTCTTTAGCCATTTTCACACTTCTGGTCATTCCAGTGAAAACTTTTACATTTTTTTCATAAAAACATGAACAAAACGGTCCAGGACAAAGCCCAGGCTTGTCATCCTTGCACTTTCTACGTCTGTCATATTTATCGATTCGGAAACAACATTGAAAGCTTCTGACCTTTCTAGTTTTATTTAAGAGAAATTAAATTGTTTTCTGTTTTTTATGCCTATAAATGTTCCTACTCAATAAAATTATGACATGTGTTATCATTTTATATTTTTTTAACTAACTCATTAAGATTATATTAGAAATATATCAAATAAAATTAAATTAAATGGTGATTTGTCATAATTTTAGTGGGTAGGAATAATTATAAGCATAAAAGATTGGAGGTAATTTAAAATATCTTTAGTTAATTATCAACATGAAAATTGTTATATCCGTCTAATCGGTATGTGTTTGTTAAGTCCATAAAGGAGGTAGTGGAGTCTTTCGAATCCAATACACTTTAGGTTAGTTCTTTTATTTTACCAACCAAAATGACATATCATAATATCAACTAATCATGTCATATAAATATCATGTCAACAAATATGTCAACTCCTAAAAATTGACTCCATAACATGCTAAATGGTCACAAAAATGGAACCCAGTGATGCTTTTTTTTAACCAAAATAATGAAATTATGCTGAAAAAGATAATGAGTTATATTGTAGTGGCTTTGTTTGTAAGTTGTCTTTCAATATAGTTTAAAGGGAAGATGTTTGTCATTCATATACTAAATTTTATCAATGGTCACTATTAATTCAACTTATAAACTAGAAAAATAAACATATCTCCAACCTAAAAAAAAGTTTAATCTCAAAGAAGGAACAACAAAGAGATTGTGAATACATTTTCTAGGGAAGAATTCTTTTATGTAAAGTTATCTTTGTTGGAACTTTGTTAGTGTAAATTGCTTTTGTGAGACTTGTCCCACGTTTGGAAGATAGAAGAAACTTCTAGTCCTTTATAAAACTCCATCTTAGTTGTTTACTAATTAGACCAAAAGTTTGGGTTAAAGAGATTGAGTTGGATTTGATGATTGGGATAGTTAAAAAATTGGTCTTGAACAAAAGACTTGAGTTAAAATATAAATTTAATGGTTAAAAGAATGACTTTTGGGTCTCATTGACTAATTAAATCGGTTTTTAAATATTAATTTCGGTTTTGACTTTTTATTTATAATTAAATATGTTAAATTTGGTTTAATTGCTTTGACAATTATTTTCGGGTTTAGCAGTTATTGAAAGGAAAGACAATTATAAACTGTCAATCTATACCTATAAATGGATCACCAAAGAACAATTTTGGGGTTGGCAAAACTCTCTCATATTCTTCTTACAATTTGTTTTCTGGAACAATGAAAGAAACATAAAAATTTTCAAAGATTCAATATCACTTTTTGGATTGTTTGTTGTATCCTTAAGTCAGATCCATACCCTGAATTTTTTTGCTTTAGGACACTACGTGCATGCCTCAATCTTTTACAAATTCCGAGATTGTAATTTTGTGTGTAATCATTATTCAAGTATGTTTTCTATGAATTATTTTTTTTACACTGTATATAATTGAATTTTGTTTGTATTATTCTATTGTTTTTCATTGATTGTATACACTTGTCATAACAATATTCCTATCTTTGTTTGTCTCATATGGACAAAAGTGTCAAAGTATATATCTAACTCTTTCATTTTCCTTTATATCAACAAAAAAAAATCACATAGTAAAAAAACCTTATCAACTACGTAGGATTCTAGTGTGAACATATAATTAACCATACTAAACAATGAACTCGAGTGGACCTCAATAACGTTGAGTCGGGTCACGAGATGAAAATGGGTCAATTTTAATAAATAAATAAAGTGTTTCCCTCGATGAAAATGGGTCAATTTTAATAAATAAATAAATAAATAAAGTGTTTCCCTCGATGAAAATGGATCAATTTTAATAAATAAATAAATAAATAAAGTGTTCCCCTCTTTTTCTTTTCTAAGTTGGTGTGGGATGAAAGTTTTACTTTTGCTATTTGTTTGTCTCACAGGAATGAATGTACAAAGTTACTTCAATCTATTACTAGAACTAGACAAGCAAAGTATTCACAGAAAACTAACATAATTTTTACAAAGTTTTCTATGACAAATCCATTGTTTTATATCATTGACTGTAAATCCTTTTGTTCAAGAAGCATACAAGAATATAAGGGATTCATTATTACCATCAAAACATTGTCATATAATGATCTCTTATTCTCTTATATTTAACATAAATATCTTCATCGATCATGACAAGAAGGAGAAAGAGCATATTATTATCTGCTAAATAAATCGATTGGTGAACTTTCATAATTTAGATAAATAGAAACAACTAACATAAGGATAATAGAATGAAACAAGTAACATTTTTTTGGGAAAAAAAAGTTATTCATCTTTGCAACCACCAATAATGTTTTATATTTAGCAATTTGATTAGAACTTGAAAAAAAGTTATATAAATCCGATGATTAGAACATAATCTTTTATACGAAAACACTTTTTCCACTAAAATTAAATGACTCCACAGTTAATAAGTAAGGTTAATAAAAAGTGACTGTATTCATGTAATAAGTGACGACTACTATGTGTCTCACTATAGGGTTATAAGAGCAATTTCTAAAATTAGCAGGGAGTCAAATGACATTAAAGCTTATTACGAGGACCATAACTTCATAGAATCAAGGTAGGCCCCAATACTTTCCCATTTCAAGAGATTCCCCAAAGCGACCAAGCATTCAGAACCTTACTAGTTACTTCTCTTTTGTCATCATCTTACAACACATTTCTGAATGACTGAATGTTGCAATAATCAAGCAACATCTTATTTATTTATTTATTTATTTTTGTTATTACTATTATACTATTTTATTAAATTATAACATTTATAACATGTAATTTGTTATTTTCTTAATCTAGAAAATTTTAGGTTTTGAAAAATTGTTAAAATAATCGTGACAAATTATATATATATATTATATTTTATATCGAACTTATTTTAAAACATCTGATAATATTTTGTAGTGATATGCCATATGTTGGTTTGACGTCAAATATTTAATATAATGTGTTTGATGTAAAATAAATAATAACACACCCAATTTGATATGCTACTAATAATTTGATGTTGGATTCCATGTAGTTATCTTCAAATGGTGTCAGATATTTGCCCTTCAATTCAACAACGTGAATGCAGTAGCATACGCACTCTTATGGTTTATTTGGAAGGCTAGAAACAACAAGGTGCTAGAAACAACAAGGTGTTCAAACAAACAAGGATGTGGCCAACACAAATCGCGGATGAGGTGATCTCCCAAACATATACGTGGTACAAATATAAAACTATTCAAGTATTGAATATGTGAATAGATTGGAGTATATCTCCATTTTGTTAACCTTTTGTATTACGATGTTTTCCTATATTTGCTCATGTTTAGCTACTTGCTAAGCATGTGGCCCATTCTATATTAGAGTATATTTGTCGTTTAAAAAAAAGGATTCCATGTAGATGTATCGAAATTGGACATTTTGGTGTTATCACATGTAAGAACACTTAATTTCAAATTGTGATACTTTCACGATTCAATATATGCGTGTATACTTCTAGAAAGGTTAACAATATTAGTCTAACTTTTATAAAAGCACGGCTTTTTAGTTCGTTCACCTTTTGTTTTCCAAAAAAATATGTGTATTGATTTTTTTTAATGAGAGATCCATACACAATAATTTTTGTTTTAGATGATTATACTGTATAACTATATAAAACATAAATTATAGTGTATGGCTAAAAAATTATATGTATAAATCATCACCGTTTTTTAAGTCCTCTCTAAGTTTACAAAAGAAATACCAAATAATTTGACAAATTTATAAAGGAAGAATTTTAAAATCGGTTTCATTTATAGTTTCATAACAAATTTGATCTTTTTGGTTGAATGGTTTGTTAACAAAAAATTCCAAACTTCCTTGACCTCCTTGTATGTTATTTCATGCAATGTAGACTATTATAATTGGAATTAAGTTTCAATAAATTCTTCTAGTGTAAAGATAGTCATGTTAGTCTATATATGTTGGAGTTGTAAGATATATGTGGAATCTTTAGTTTACTCTCCAAAAGAGCTTTTATGGAGAGAAGGATATTCCAACATATTTAGTGGCATATAAGATCGTGTAGTACCAACATGGGATACACTAACACTGCCTCTA